GACTCTAAAAACCATTCTAAACTATGTTAGAAATCAGTAAAAATCACGACATATTAGTGTATTCAGTTCAATTCCCCTTAAACACTGACATGTCGATGCAGCTATAGGAAGTGTCAATCCAGTCCACTGTTATTGTTAGCAATGAAGATGTGTACAGAAGCAACTAAGTCAAACCATATTATAGAGATGGTTGGTTTCTAGTAACAATTCTAGGTTAGGATTCAAACAACAAAGATAAGAACTTAAGAGCCCTACTTGATCATTGGGTCGAGTAGAACCAACATGCAACAAATTTCAAGAACTAAAATGCAATTAACAGGTAACACAAATAACAGGTAAATAAAAGTGCAATCACGGGTGAATACAAATAAATCTAAGAAGAATAGAAGTCCTGAGGATGGATTCATTGATAAGAACAACTCTAGGGTTCATCAGGTGGCTAAAAGGTGAAAGGAAGATACCCTAGACGATAAATTCAGAAACCGGGTCAATCCACTCTCGTGACAGAGACCCCCATAACTCTACAACTTCCTAATCTCAACTCTGGTAGATGAAACATAGCAGAGCAAGGTTTAAGCAACAATCTACCAAAGTCAATAAGCAGTCTAGCCAATCTCTTGGTCTAGAGTCTACAAATCTCTAGAATTCGTAGATAAGGCATCCATTTGAACGTCTTTTAGACGCTGGATACATATGGTCAAATTTCCACATTAGTCGGCGAAAACCGCAAAGGGGCCAACGAATCCAGAAAGGATCTAACCTAATCTTAATCACCTGACTAACCTAGAGATTACCCTAATCTAATCCATCCTCAAGAACACTAATCACTACTCAAGCAACATAACTAAGAACAAAAACCCAACAAATTACTGAAATCATAACAAAATGTAGATCTAAACAAGCTAAACAACTTTACTCAAAGAACTAAGTGCAAAACCGAAATAGATTAAGGGTAATTAAGTTTTGAAGATTGAAGCACACAAAGAAAAACTAAGAGATAAAAGCTAGATCCCTTGGACAAATCCCAAAGTGATATTTTTTGTACTAAAATGTTGAAAACCCTAGATTCACTAGAAGACAAGAGACGTGAGGCAGTTTGTACGATTGCTCGATCTTGCGGATCGAGTAAAGAGGGTGATGCAAAGTCTGCGCCTTTGTGTCCATGCTCCGAGTGATCAATTGGACGAGTAGTTGCTTCTTCCTCTCCTATTCTTATGCTTAGATGTCTGGTTGAGTGGGGAATGAGGAGGATCAAAAGACACTTTAAATGATCGACAAGTCTTCTAGAGTAGGTTCCCCTTTATCGAGTAAACTGGTCGAGTAGAGGATCGAGGAAGAGGGGCGAGTAGATCAACCTTCTGCTTCCTATGAGGTTGCCTTGATCGAGTAAAAGGGTCGAGTGAATTGCTGCCTCCTCTATAGCTGCCTAGATCGAGTAAAGAGGTCGAGTGGAATGCTCTACTGCTTCCCTCCTTGTTTGATAGAGTAGAGGGTCGAGTAGAATCCTTGTAAGCTCCTTCTGCACCTGAAAACTTACTAAAACAAGCAATATGTATGCAAGATGATCCTCAATGCATCAGTATGCAAAATAAGCTAAATGTGATACAATGAGTGATCACTAAGCTAAATGATGATAAATACACACCTAAAATGAGTAAAATATAGTGTTATCAACTTCCCCAAGCTTATCTCTTGCTTGCCCTCAAGCAAACAAAAAATCTTAAGTTGAAGGAGAGGTTTGAAGGTGGGGATTCAAAAACCGAGGCATGCAAATAAATCGGGTAAGCTCAATGTCCAGGTAGCTAATTCTAGATTGCAAGATGATAGACCCTTACTTAAAAACTTTTGCCATACTCGTCACAATGCAACCTAACAACCTGCCTTAATCTATTCAAGCATTCACATTAATCAATTCCCTTTAACATTTGTTGAGCACGAATAGTGGATCAAGCAATGCATTGGTTATGAACTCACTTGGTTTCGGGCTTACCCTAAGAGACAAAAATGGTCCCTCTAATGATTTGTTCGAGCAACAGGGAACGCTCAGAGAAAAGATTGAGCTTCAGCATAATGCTAAAGGTAAAAGCCAATGGACAAATACAAGAACAGACTCCCATCTACCCAATGATATATAGTATGATAGCTCAGAAGATGATCCCAGTCCCATAGATGTCCTAACTCTACCCTTTGTCTCATTCTTTCTCTTTTTGGTTCAAGTTCTAAGGGGTTCTTCTTTAAAACGATTCAAGAGTCTAGCGGGTTTGGTTTTATACTGATAATAGGTTTTTAGTCAATTATCCTATAACACCAATCATGTCGTTGTAGTATTTTAGGTTGTCAATCCAAATGGGTGTGATGCTAACAATCAAGATGCAATCAGAGTTCACAGAGTCAAGCCAAGCAAAAAAAGGTTTTGGTGTGTTCTAGCAGTCCTAAGTGAACATGCAAAAAATAGAAATTTAAGTAGAACAGTAAAAACACTCGACCAACACAGCTTGTTGCCAAGCACTGGGTGTGGTCGATTGACAGGTCGAGTAACAGACAGAAAATGTAACAGAGATATTCGACTGCACAGTCTGTTGCCAAACAACTGGGTGGTCGAGTATAAGGTCGAGTAACAGGAGAAAAATACAAAAACTAAGCATCAGGTAACAAGATGCAGTAAACAATAGCAGAGTTAACAAAGAAATCAATTAGATAAAGAATTCCCGAGGATGGGGTAATTGAGTAGTTTTGTTTCCTCAGTTTACAGGTGATTGACATGCTCAATAAATTATCCCTAGACAATAAGTTCGATAACCAAATCTAAGTGCCACCGCAACATAGACCCTCAAGTTAAACCAGTCCCAGACTCAATCACCATTAACGAGAGCTAACCTAACAGGCATTACGAATCAACAAGTTAAAGCCAAAACGCTCCATGCAACCAACACATTGGTACAGAGCCACGAATCTCTGGAATTATAGGTTCAGACATTTCATCGAACACCTTTTGGGTGCGGAAATGTCTGGGCTCAAATTCCAGTTGGTCATAAAGCAATAGGCATTAAGAACAACTAATACATAAGGGATCTATAAATCAAACTCAACCACCTAGCATATTGAGAATTCTAAACACTCTAACCCATCCTCTGAAACATATTCACTACTCAGACATCGTTGAAGAGAACATAAACATTGAATAGAATGAAAACATGATAACAACAGAGTAATAACAAGATGATAACAGGATGAACAACAATAAACGAAATCGAAAGCAAATGCTGAATATTGAATAGATTAAGAGAAATCCGGATTACAAAAAAAAGTCAGGAACACAGTGTCTACGGAATAAAACTTTGATAAACGAAAATGTAAAGTACATGCTACTTATAACGAAATATTCCGAAACCCTCATACTCAAAAGGACGCAGTATTGGGACGGACTAAGAATGGTACTCGATCCAGGTGGTCGAGTATCTAGTCGAGTGATTGAGATGGTGGTACTCGGCTTGGTGGTAGAGTGATCGAGTGAAGGTGATGTGGTGGAGGTGATGATACTCGACCACATGGTCGAGTATTAACATCGAGTGGTTGTCTTGGTGGTACTCGACCACAGGGTCGAGTGGTGATGTGTAGTGATGAGGCCATCTACTCGACCAGGGGGTCGAGTGGTTGTTGAAGTCGTGGAACCATCTACTCGACCAGGGGGTCGAGTGTTTTGCAATGATCAGGTCCGCTTCTTCCAATTAGCTTGGCAACAACTCAAAATCACCTGAAAACAACACAAATATGCAACATGCCTCTTAGGTTAGCTCTCGTCAATGGTGATTGAGTCTAGGACTAGTTTAACTTGAGGGTCTCTTTTACGGTGGTACTTAGATTTGGTTATCGAACTTGTTGTCTAGGGATAATTTATTGAGCATGTCAATCACCTGTAAACTGAGGAAACAAAACTACTCAATTACCCCATCCTCGGGAATTCTTTATCTAATTGATTTCTTTGTTAACTCTGCTATTGTTTACTGCATCTTGTTACCTGATGCTTAGTTTTTGTATTTTTCTCCTGTTACTCGACCTTATTCTCGACCACCCAGTTGTTTGGCAACAGACTGTGCAGTCGAGTATCTCTGTTACATTTTCTGTCTGTTACTCGACCACACCTAGTGCTTGGCAACAAGCTGTGTTGATCGGGTGTTTTTATTGTTCTGCTTAAATTTTTATTTTATGCATGTTCACTTAGGACTGCTAGAACACACCAAAACCTGTTATTGCTTGGCTTGACTCTGTGAACTCTGATTGCATCTTGATTGTTAGCATCACACCCATTTGGATTGACAACCTAAAATACTACAACGACATGTTTGGTGTTTTAGGATAATTGACTAAAAACCTATTATCAATTTGGCGCTGTTGCCAATTGGGTGTTTGTTTATTACATTTGAGATTTCATGCTTGCTTAGACAAAGTTTTTTTTTTCAATTTGAATTTCAGTTACTTATTGTGTGTTTTTCTTGTCGTCTTCTTGTTCCAGGTACATCTCGGCTGTATGCAAACTCGATCAACAGGCAACCTGAACCTCCTTTTCAACGATAACATCGACCGCATCGCTCGCGAACTCAGGGAAGGAGAAACACAGTCAACCTTTTACCCCTGCAACCACTCGATATGGCTGACGAACAGAATCAACAGAAAGGCCCTGCCAACATTGGTGTTGGAGATGCAACACGGGACCATCGGCAAAGGAAAGGAATTGTTATCCAGAACAACAACTTCGAGATTAAGAGTGGTCTCATCTCAATGATTCAGGGGAACAAATTCCATGGTCTGCCAATGAAGGATCCACTCAACCAACTTGATGAATTTGATAGGCTCTGCAACCTAACAAAAATCAATGGTGTAAGTGAAGACGAATTCAAGCTCGACATGGGATGATTGCAAGAATCTGCCCCATGACTCAATCACCACATGGGATGATTGCAAGAAGGCTTTTCTAGCAAATCTCAAATGCCAGAACTGCAAGACTAAGAAATGAGATTTCTGCCTTTTCATAGAAGACTGGTGAATGCTTCTGTGAAGCATGGGAGTGTTTCAAAGGTTACACCAACCAATGCCCTCATCATGGCTTCAAGAAAGCCTCTTTGCCCAGCACTCTATACAGAGGCGTTTTACCACGCATCAGAATGCTTCTGGATACCGCCAGCAATGAGAATTTCGAGAAGAAAGATGTTGAAGAAGGCTGGGAATTGGTTGAGAACCTTGCTCAATCAGATGGTAATTACAACGAAGACTGCGACAGGACAATCAGAGGCACAACTGATTCTAATGACAAACACATGAAGGAGATCAAAGCGCTAAATGACAAGCTGGACATGATTCTTCTTAGCCAGCAGAAGCATGTGCACTTACTTATTGATGACGAGCAGTATCAAGTCCAAGATGGGGAGGGTAACCAGTTCGAGGAAGTTAGCTACATCAACAACAACCAGGGTGGCTACAAAGGGTATAACAACTTCAAGACGAACAACCCTAACCTCTCTTACCGTAGCACCCACGTTGCTAACCCATAGGACAAAGTGTATCCTCCACAACAACAACAAGGTCAGAACAAACCTTTTGTTCCCTACAACCAATGTTTTGTTCCCAAGCAGCAATTTCAGGGGAACTACGAGCTGCAACCAACACCTGGGTTTGTACCTCAGCAACACCAAGGTCCTGCTGCTCCTGATGCTGAAATGAAGTAGATGGTACAACAACTGCTACAGGGACAAGCATCTAGCTGCATGGAAATTGCTAAGACGTTAATTGAATTGCACCATAAGCTGTACTGCATTTACAATGACCAGAACGCCAAAGTGGAGGCATTGATTACCAAAGTCAGATACTTGGAAGGACAATCAGCATTCAGATGATGAATGTGATGCTAATCCATCACCAGCTGCTGATAGGAGGATTGTTCAAGAAAAATTAGAAGATCCTGGATCTTTTACTCTACCATGTTCTATTGGGGAATTAGCTTTCAGCGATTGCGTGTGCGATCTAGGAGCCTCTGTCAGCTAAATGTTATTCTTTGTGGCTACTTTCTATGGCAAGAAGGTTGAAACTTGTTCAGTATAGGCCTTGTAACCTAACTCTGATCCTTGCGGATAGGTGTTCAAGAAAACCCTTCGGCATGCTGAAAGATCTACCAGTCATGATTAATGGAGTGGAAGTGCCTACAGACTTCGTGGTGCTGGATATGGAAGAAGAGCATAAGGATCACCTAATCCTGGGAAGACCTTTCTTAGCCTCAGTGGGAGTAGTGATAGATGTCAGGGAAGGGAAAATAAATCTCAGCCTTGGAAAGCAGATCAAGTTGCAGTTTGACATCAACAAAACTCCACAAGGGTCAACAAAAGATGGAAAAACCTTTGGAGATGATAGAGTGATCTCAGGAGAAGGATATGAGACTGAAAGAGTAAAGGAGCTTAAAAAAAGGTCTAATAAGCAAGATGAAACTATAGAGAAGCTAGCCCACACTGTTGAGGAGCTTAAGAGTAAGCTGAATCAGAAGCAGAAGGAAGCTCAACCTAAAGGCGGAATTGACATTATCCCCGAGAAAAAAGTTTACTTCAAGATGGTCTGAAGAGATAGATTACCCTCTAGAGGAGAAAGAAGCCTATTTTGAAGAAAGGGGAACTGAGTATTCTGCTGCACACCTCTCCAAGGAGGACGCTAAGTATGATGATGATACCAGAGAGGACTATGCAGACCCTCTTTATCATTCATTTTCTTCTTCATAAGTGTGAGGAGTCAAGCTAGAGACTTTAAACAAGCTCACTTGAGAGGAAGTCCCATGACTATCTTTGTGAATAAGTTTTTCTTTTCTTGTTATTTTTGATTTGTTTTAGTTGTGTTTGTGGTTCTCAGGAATAGAGGAATAACGTGACGGTAGAGTGAAAATTCAAAACTTTTACTCTACAGATGGCCTAGAGATCGAGTAGACAGTCTAGTGGAGTGCAAAAATTTTAAAACTTTCTGTTGCACCTAGAGACCTTGCACTCGAGTATATTGGTTGAGTATGAGTGATGTTTAAAACCCCAAAAAAAAAAAATCATCATTTTACTCGATCAACAGAAGATACAGCGCCTTATATGGAGTTCATCAAGTTTATAGAGGATTTCGGGATTACCTGAGGTTTTTACAGTCAACAGAGAGTACAAATAAAGACAAATCCAAAAAATGGAGATGGTGGTACTCGGCTTGGTGGTAGAGTGATCCACTGAAGGTGATGTGGTGGAGGTGATGATACTCGACCATAGGGTCGAGTAATGAGATCGAGTGGTTGTCTTGGTGGTACTCGACCACGGGGTCGAGTGGTGATGTGAAGTGATGAGTCCATCTACTCGACCAGGGGGTCGTGTGGTTTGCTGAAGTCGTGGAACCATCTACTCGACCAGGGGGTCGAGTGTTTTGCAGTGATCAGGTCTTCTTCTTCCAATTAGCTCGCCAACGGCTCCAAATCACCTGAAAACAACACAAATATGCAACATGCATGCAAAACTATCCCAAACATGCAAAGTGATGACAAATGATGAGAAATAATATTAAACAGTGGTGATATGATGCAATAGTGATAACAAATGGATGCTCAAAACATGTAAAATGCACACTTATCATATACTTTGACAAACTGAAGGCTTTTCTTCTATTCTTAGCATAGAGGGCGTTTTACCCTTTTCTTTAAATCAAAATGCCTAACTCTCGTTGAGTTCTGAACCCTTTACTAGATTAACACTTTTTTGTATCCCCCTTAAGAACTCAAAACTCTGACTCTCTTTTCTTTTTTTTTTTCTTTTCTTTTCATTCTCATTCTCTTTCCCATTCAATCCATACACAATCCCAATCCTAAATACAAGTATCCACCTAGTCCTAGCTAACCCAAAAAGTGTGGGCTAGGTCTACATGAAAGACTGCTCTTGTCGGCTCATACCTAATACGTTAAACCAAGCTCAATCGAAAAAGACCTCATAATCACACATAAATGATCTTTGGCTTGAAATAAGGATAGGCTCACGGTATGGGAAACTGCTCTAAAAATGAGAGTCAGCTACTTGGATTAACAAAAGGTGGTGAAGTGAATAAGATAATTCAAGTATGTATATTGATATGTCTATAATTTGCATGTTTTCAGTGTCCATTCATCATCGTTTTGAGTCCAGTTTCGTATCATTCATCACTGTTTTATATCATTTCTCATCATTCCTGCATACTTTGCATGATTAGGATAGTTTGCATAGTTATTGCATTTCTGAGTTGTTTTCAGGTGATTTGGAGCTGTTTGCGAGCAAATTGGAAGAAACGAGCCAGAAACTGAAGACATACTCGACCCCCAGGTCGAGTACTTTGGAGCCATTCTTCCCACATACTCGACCCCCAGGTCGAGTGACTTTGGAGCCATTCTTCCCATCCACTAGACCACCAGGTCGAGTAACCTCAGCTCAGGCCACTCGATGACATTACTCGATCCCCTGGTCGAGTATCACTTCGCCACACCACCTGACCACACTCGACCATTCACTCTACCCCGTTACTCGACCCCCTGGTCGAGTATCATCACTCCCCACCATCACCATCACTCGACCGGACACTCGATCACGTCTTCACAGTCTACTCAAGTCCGCACTCAACCAGATAAGCTGAGCAAAAGGAAGAGAAGAGGAGAAGACAAAGTGTTTGGAAGCGGCATGGACCTCCATCGGATCACGAAGCCCATCTCGGCCCATTATCTCTCTATGGGCCGAGCGATTAGGTTATTGGCCCGTCTATTATCATTTTATTTCGTTTTGTATAAATAGATGTCTTAGGGTTCTGTCCTGAGACATCTAGTGGACATTGAGTTTTTGCTTCAGTTTTATTTTCTGTTATACTCTACTGCGCCGCTTTTGCTTCTGCAACCTGTAATTCGAGATTTTTCCAAGTTATTCAGATTCTGCGTTTGATTTCATCTGTCATCTTGTTTCTCTACTCTCTATCTCTTTACTTATGCAATATTATCGTTTATCTGTGTTTATGTCTTTGAGCATGTTGTCTGAGTAGTGACTTAGAATTCTTAGGGAAAGGATAGAGTACTTGTGGAATCCGTAGTCTGTAGAATGGTTAAGCTTTAGAATTGATTGAATCCCTTTAGGACTAGTTGCGTTTACTGCTTATTTCTTTCTGATCAACTGGAATTTGATCCCAAGCTTTCCCGCACCCAGAAGGTGTTCGATGGAATGCTTGATCCACTAGTTCCTGAGATATGCGTCTCTATCCCAAGGGATTGGCCGTTTAGAGTGTTTATTGACTTTATCAGTCTGTTCTTATTGCCTGCATAGTTAGATTCCGTTAATGGGAATTAGTTTGGGCTAGCTTTGCTTGAGGATTTCTATCACGGGAGTGAATTGATCTGTTGTTGAACCTGTTGTCTAGGGATAGCTTGATTGCGCTTGTTAACCATTCGAATAGGCTAGGATACCACTCTACTCGATTACCCCATCCTTAGGAATTTCTCGTCTATCTTATTTCTCTGTTTTATCGTTATCGCTTAATCGTTCTCATTGCCTGTTTCTTAGTTTTTACAATCACTCGACCATCTTACTCGACCACACCCAGTGTCTGGCAACAGACTGTGCAGTCGAGTAAGATTGTCTTGTTTCCTGTCTGTTACTCGATCTGTTACTCGACCACATCCTCCTTTTGGCATCAGCCTGTTGTGGTCGAGTGGTTTTAGTAATTCTGCTATTGCTTCTGTTTTCTGCATGTTCGCTTAAGACTGTTAGAAACCCCAAAACTGTTATTGCTTGGCTTGACTTAGTGACTTCTGATCACATCTCATCTGTTTGCATCACACCCATTTGGATTGACACTAAAATACTACAATGACATGATTGGTGTTTTAGGATAATTGCATAAAAACCTATTATCAATTTGGCGCAGTTGCCAATTGGATGTTTGTTTGCTATATTTGAGATCTCAGAATACTTAAGATCAAGTTCTTTTTCAATTTTTCTGAAAGTTACTAACTTTGTGTTTTTTCTGATTGTCTGTTTTGATTCAGGTACTATGAATCACTAGCTTCAACAGTTGGTACTCGTTGTATGCAAACAC